GATATGCTGAGAGGAGAAAACGGATCAGGCCGGAAGAACAGAACTAAGGTGAAACCTTGAAAGCTTGCGAGATCAGGATGGTCTCACCAGGCTAACACTGTGGCAGCCCACTGCCCTCAAAGGAGACAGGTTAAATATCTCCAATGTGAGATCAATAACGAATAATTATTATTATTAGTCAAGCAGCATATTTGGACCTGAAACAGATGTTTGATGCTAAATGCATGATGTTAAAAAGGGTCCAGGTTTCCAGTTTTCACCTTAGTTCTGTTCTTCCGGCCTGATCCGTTTTCTCCTCTCAGCATATCCGTGGATCGTCGTCAGCATGGAAGCCAAACCCCAGAAACCATTCTCCTCCAAAGGTGGGAGGAAGCCTTTGCACAAAGGAAAAGGTAAGAAGTGCCTCATTAACAGGAGAGACATCATTGCCCTCCAGCTTTACCAGCGACTCCTCGACTCCTTCCAGATTCCTCAGGGACAAAGTTCGGAGGGAAGCCTGCCGGAAAGAAACCCTTTAAACCCTACAAGAACACGGAGAACAAGAGCAGACCTGGAAAAGCAAACGGTGGAGGGAGAAAATCCGGTTTCTCTAATGCTGGGAAAGGAGCGCCGGGGAAGAGGAAGCTGCCAGCAGGGGGCGGCGGTGAGTATCCGTCCGCCTCGCTCTGGTGAAGTCTTCCTGTTAGACGACAGCGTTTCAGTCGATTGTTTCTGCGATCAGGTCCGCCGGCCAAAAAGAGAGGCGAGGAGAAGCCGATGACGGACGAAGAGCTGAAGAAGAAGAGGCTGCAGAAGAAGAAGGAGCTGAAGGAGAGCAGGCAGCAGGCGGAGAGGAAGGAGATGTTTGACATCATCCGCCAGTGCAAAGGAGTGTGGGGGAACCTCCGCAGGTACGAACACAATCATGGTGCAGAGGTTCCTCTAAAGAGAAGCTCCAGAACCTTCCAATTTTTACTTGCCCAGTATAATGTTTGATAAATATAGTTCCTAATGTTCATTTCTGTAAATATATCAATGAAACATGTTTGTTTTTTAAATGTTTTTTGTAATTCAGTATTTTTTTTAAGTTTACAGGCTGCCATATCATAGCGCTTTCTAGTTTTTTGTCATTTTGGTAACTACATCTAAATTACCGCTAGGTGGACAAAAATCACGCCATCTGGTGGCGGGCAAATGCAATGAAATTTGTACTCTCCCAACAATAAAAACTACTTTCCCCGGGCGATCGGGTATTGGTTAACATCGAGAACATCTGAGAGGTTCCTGCTGTCTGACAGAAACTCCGAGTGGGTTCGGGTTCTAACTCATCGGGTTCTGAACGGCCTCCAGATTCAGAAATGAGCTTCTATTAAATGAAGGCATCAGAAATTAAAACTAAAGAAGAGCAAAGTAAAAAAGTTCAGACCTGGTAGAAACGTTGGAGCTCATCAGAACCGTCTGTTCAGAGTTCCTCTGTGGGGTGGAGGGGGCGGGGCTTGTTACATACGGGCTGATGTTCCTGCTGACTGACGGATGATGTTTGGATCCACAGGAAGAAATGCGACGAGGAGCAGAGGAAGAAACTGATGAAGCAGCTTCATGTTCTGATCCAGGGGAAGATGAAACAGGTCTGTTCCTGGAAAACCAGGTTCCTGCCTGGA